CTCTTTGTAAACGTATGTTATGTCCCAAAGAGTGACAGTAGGTATGAAATTGACACCTTAACTTTGAGTGCCAATAACTCCTTCATTAAAACTCCAAATCATACAAAATTTATATCCAATTTGTACCCAAAACCCTAAACTTGCTGAACCTAGCCTCTAAAGCTCGAATTACTTCGAAAAAGAAACCCTAATTCCTAATAAGGCCTCAGACAGCCTCCTTAAAGCCCATTGGGCATGGCCTTCGGCCAATAGGAATAAAGATCCCCATTCCTTGCCTTCATCCAACAATTCCTTACTATCTTACAAGTCATATGACATGTATCCAACTTATGAGGTACATGTCAAATTTATAGGGCAAGTTTTTAACATTTACACCACATAGCCAATTTCTAATACAAGTTGTTAAATGTACAACATATAATCAATTTATTGGCTAAGTTATCAATCAACTAATCACATATAAATACATATAAGGTCTAGACAGCTTTTGGAAATTTTTCAATAAGATATCAATAATTTAGCATACTTCTATTTATTTCTATATAACTTTACTTATTTAAGTAAATATGCTAATAAATATAGCTATTTATTATGATCATTCTATATCAATTAATAATATCTTAAAATAAAATAATATTGCTACATATATCAAAAATAGATTTAAGATTTAGATCAATCAATTTAATATTTTTATTTATTTTTATATATTTAATTTATATATATTATTATTATCTCATTTATTCTTATTCCATTAAATTCTTTTATTTTAAATAGTCTTAGTTAAAATTATATGTATTTTTTATAATTACTAATATTATTTTAAAAAATAAAATGAGATAAAGATATTTAATTTAGTTTAAAAAAACCTATATGATTTATAAGATTAAGAAATACTACTAAAGACTTTTAATTTTCTTAAAGACGTCTATAATTTTACAATATCATCTAAAAAGAATTTTGTATAGAATATTTATTATATAACTTTATCAAGACAATAAAAGCAACAGCTTAAGAAAAACCTCAACATCTTATGTAAAATATAGGTTTGAATATATCAAAGAAGTGGTTAAAAGTTTTCTCCTACCAAAAAAATTAACAATTAAATATTTTATGCTAATAGAGATCTTGGTTTCTTGTCTATTTTATTATATATATATTATTTTTGTAAGAATGAATTAAATAAATAAATGATCCACACACATACATATACATCACTTAGAATGTATTACTTTTGTATAGTTTTTCTTTTTCTTTTTTTCTTTTTTTCTTTTATTGTAGAAGTTCATGTTTTAACTATTCTTAGATATATTGGTTATATTATTTCTATTGTTTTTTAAGACAACAAGATTATAAATAGTAGAAAAAATTAGTAGCTATAGATAGCACCTTGATGCAATTAATCAAATTAAAAAAACAAATAATACTTGTTGCAAACCCCTAATTGGTATTGGAATTTATTCCATGTTTGTGATTACAAATAAAATAAAGATCAAAGTATTTAAATAATAAATAATATAAAATTGAGATAGAATATTGATTTTATTAAATAAAAAAGAAAGAGCTCATTACAATCTTATTAGACCACATTTTTTATTTTTAAACATTATATTTATATTATAAATATTATATTATATTATTTTTATTTATATTATATATATATATATATATATATGTTTTTAACTAGGACTAAAATCATGTTTATGATTGGGATAAATATAGCAATGTGAAAAATTAGATGCTCATTGTCTTAGCAGAAACAAAATTTTAAAAATTACAACTCTTAAAAGAAAAAGAAATATATATATATATATATATATATGTGTGTGTGTATTATAAATTATTACATTAATTAGAAGATATAATTAATAAATATATATTATGTGTTTTTAGACTTATTTTTTAAAAAAAAGTATGGGTTTTTTAAAGTTAGTATCTATAAAAAGATAATAACATACTTAAATGATTTAAAAATTATATTTCCTGAAATAAAACGAGATTAGCAAATTGCCACCTAATGAATTGTTTTTTTTTAATGCAATTCAGTTTTAATTGATCATTTAATTAAAAAGAAAGAAAAGACCTTAAAATCACACAATTAAATACAACAGCTAAAACTATCGATGTTGTTTAAGTTCAAAAAACTAAAAAATGAAAAAGAAAAAGAAAAACTCTCTAAAATAAACATACTTAAAATTAGTACATCTTACTAATTTCAATTCAGTTTTAAGAATATAAACGTTTTTAGTTTAAAAACAATGGCAACAACTGCATCGTCAATGGCGACGGGATCCAGAACACCGACACAGCGAGGCAGACATAAGTAGGCAGCGCCGGTTGAGCAATCCCGTTGGGGAGAAACCTGATGCCAGCCTGCGAGTAATCGAGTGAACGAGAGAAAAGTGGGTGCTCACAATGCATGCGCTCTGCAATTCGCTCTCGTTCTGTCCAACAACACACGCCGTCACTTCATCGTCAAAGCAGGCTGCAATTGAGAGACCGAAGCAGTTTTCGACGTGCTTCCAAATCTACTGCAGGAGGTACAGCCCATCTCCCCCACCGTGATCGAAACTAAAACTCTCCAGCTGGCCTGGAGCGCGCAGTTCAACGGCGATTGGGTTGGCAAACCTGCAGGTATGCCGTCCCCGCGACTGCTCTCCCTCGTGTGCAAGTGGATGCAGAATGGAGATTAGAGCTATCCCCACCAGCGCAATGGGGCGTTGCGATTGTCAACGATGGGGACCTACGCACAAAGTATCGCGCCACCTACTGATCCGCGTGCGAGTCGTAGAGATTCCGAATTCCACCTTGACTTCCCCTGCCTGACCTGCATCTCTATAAATGGAAATCGCATTATCCTCGAGAACATTCCCGCGCATCCCCAATCCTCCACATATTCCGTCGCGCCCGTCGCCTTGAAAATTGGGGCAAGTTTGACTGGGGGGGTATTTATCGACTGACGACGTGGGTTAGCTTCCCCTCAACGATCACTGTCATGATCATGCCCATTAGGGTTAGTTCTACCGTTACCGCAGTTTCACTTTCAAGCGAGTTGGAGGATCATTCTTTTGGCATCATTTCGCCTGAGATGGATCTCTTAATTCGGATTAGATCTGTTTAACCAATTTGGCTTAGAGACTTTTCAACATATGGGGATTTTAAAGTTGTAAACCAAGGGTGGCCAACTTGAAATGAAGAAAGAATATGATATTTCCACAAGCAAATCAAGGTCAAGCCCATGTAATGATACTGTAGTGCACAGTTTTGTGGTCTTCTAGTGCACCCAATACTAGGTTTCAGGGCATAGCCACCATTGTTGCCATTGGCCATGTCAAATGTCCCAACTTAAGAATAAGCTCCATTGCAGCCCATTAATCGGCCTTGGCAAGGTCAGTCTTGGCACAATAGAGGTTTTCCCATCAACATGTCATGAAAACTTCCTGTCCTGGTTGGGGCTCAGAGTGGGGTCCTGGAGAGCTACTGTAGAGCAGATAGGTGGCTTGAATGTGACTTTTGTTGGCCACCTTGTGGAGACTGCCTCATGTCTGCGTTTGCTGTGGTGCCATGAGCCCATGACACCCACTCCTAGGCCATTCCTATTAGCACCAATGGGTGGTGATGTTCTTAGCATGGTTGCATGGTGAGAAGAAATATATATATATATTTTAATATTAGCTATATTAATTTGAATAATTATTATTGTAATAATTATTCAAATTAATGGATGAATTGATATATTAGATTTCAAGTAGATAGTAAAATTATTTGCAAAGAGATGCATCTTCAAAATTAAAAATAGTAATATATATATATATATATATATATGTTCATTTATTTCTAATAATAACCATGATACAATTGAAGACACTTGGTAGCATTTTTTAATTTTTTTAATTTTAATTTTTATACTAGTGGATATATCATTTTTGATGGAATATGGATGAACAATGGAGTGGATGGGCAAGAGAATGGATGGATGGTAGTGCCAAAGATTGCAATGCGCAATGGCATGGGTTTTTGCCAGAAGATATATACACATATATAATTGTACCTCCCTAAACTGATTCCCACAAGGATATTATCTCTTTCTTGATATTGCTTCCAATTCACCAAATTGATTCTATGGCTACAAGTCAAGTTTAAAGAGGAACTTCACAACTCAATACCCTCTACTAAATAAAATTCTTCCCTACAAATCATATCAAATTAGAGAGATACAACTATATATGTATCAATTAATTATAAAAGTAGCTGTAATCTTTTACCAAATTAAAAAAATTAAAAATTAAAGTCAGTATATATATATATATATATATATATATATAGTATTTTCTGAATGTAGACTTTTGCTAAAATATATTAATTTTTATGCAATATTAAGTAAGCCAAAACCAAGAAGGCATGCAATTGGTGCAGAGCACACAATGAATATCTGAACACAGGATTCAATAATGTTTCTCACAAATCAACATCAAGTGAGTGAATATTCCTATTGCTAAACATTTTCCACCACATTTGGAAACACCATTTTTAAAAGAAATACTAAATCATTCATTTTCAGTCACAGACATTGGATTTAGTTACATTTAAAATACCACAAATCCATCTCCCAAAAAACACTTAATACACCACATTGCGTCGTCTGAGCATGCAAGGACTCGCATACTCACAACACCGTAACTCATCAAATCACTTCCATAAAACAAAAAAGTGTAAAGAGAACAAAAGAATCAGAAAACTAGAATCAACGGATATCCGACAACAAAAGAATGAGAGAGTACAATGAAGGCAAAAATGAAAGCACAAAGGAACAACCTGACCATTAAACAAAGGCGAAGCAAGAGCTTACAAAAGTGGCACCGAGGCGTCGAATTACGACAAAGTGAAAAGTGCGATTGCAGCACTAAAGACAAGAGTGAAGGAAAATTTGTACTGGAAATCACGGCAAAAAGACGAACAGTAGACACAGTGGTGGAGGAGAAGCGTGGCTGGGTGGATTTCGTCTATGGGGCCTGCCCTACCTGCCTGCTTCCGGCTACTCCCGAACTTCCCGATGCCGGCATTGTAGCATGCTATGTTCTACACGCGCTTCCTCGTGGATGACCAGTTGTCCTGGTGATATGTTTCACGAGCAGCCCCTCCTATTTTTCACGACTGCTACTGTTGGTGCAATCGGAGGGTGTAGAGGGAGTGCGCTCGGTGTTGTGGAGGACGAGACGGGAGTCAGTGGCACTCGGTAAGTATCGCTTGTCCTTTAATTGGTTTTTCAGGTGCTGGTGCTTCGTGTATCCCACAGGAGGATTCGGGAGCTGTCTTGGTAGTTCCACTGGATGCGAAATCTCGGTGTTTATATTTTTTTGATGAGCCTGGACGTAGGTTGCGAATTAGGACGTGTTTTGCAGCAGGACCAGCGTGCGAAAGATTCTGCCCGAACTTTTCTTCGTTCCTTGTCGTTCCAAGAGCAAGCAGTATCTGTAGTCGAAAATCCGCCTTCTTCTTGCTGAAGTTCTTCTGAACCCGTTGTGCTTCGGCTTGCTTTCTGTTCCTGCAAGAATTGCGGGATTCCATTGTGTTATTGTTCTTGGAGCTTAAGAACTAAGCTGGCGTAGGACCTTGTGTTTTAAACCTATATGATTCAATCGCCACTAGCTGAAGCAGCAATATCAGTTTCGTTTTTAGGAAATAGTTACTTCTGCTTTTGATATTAGATCTACCTCACTGCAATGGAAGATTCCTGCGCTTGCTTCGTTTTTTTTTTTTTTTTTTTTTTTTTTTTTTTTAACTTACCCAAATCTTGTGCTAAATGGATGCAAACTTGGATCAGTGAGGGGCTTTGCTTGAGCGATTCTGTTGAGGACATTTCCATCTGTGTTGGTAATTCTATTGCAATTCGTAAACTTCGGATGGAACAGTATTGAGAGCATAGTATCGCCTACATGGAACACGAAGGATGCAGAGGGTTTAGGATTTATCCTGGTTTCACAGTAGTCAATAGCAACAGAGCTAATCTTTGGGTGGAGCTGGCTAGTTGTTATGAATCTGTGTGATGCAAACACATCGAAGACTCAGCTTCACAAATCCAGGATGGGCATTAAACAGCGCTTCTCGCTTTGCTTGCTGATCTGAAGAATAGTTGTGGACAAGAACCACCGTGTACGAGAGAACCTTGTGGGGGCATGACTGAGAAAATCTGTTGAAATTGATTGTAGGTAAGGTACGTCAAGGAAAACATTATCTGGGAACTTTAGAAGACAATTTACTGTTCGTGTAGCTCGGTGATCACTGCTAAGGAAGCTCTTCGGGGTACAAAAAAGTGAATAAGCCGCACAAAATGTTTCGCATGGAGTTTAGGGGGGAAATTATTGACTCGGAGTCGGAAGACGATGAGCCTTCCACGACATATGTTAAAAACGAGAATGGAGGCGTGAAGTTTGAGAGCGAGAAAAACAGGCACAAGATTGCGGATGATGAGGAGGATCCTCCAAGATGTTTCGAAGGTCGAGTGGGAACACTTGGGCAACTCCAGCGGGTCTCGATATCCAACGAGGTCGAGCACAGTGTATCACGTCAGTCTCCTGTAAACACCTCTAGTTCCACACTGAACTCCAGCGGTTCGGTGTCGAAGAACTGGGTCGAGGCTGATTTGATTGACCTCGGATCCCCTAAGGCAGAAGCAGCGTTGCAATCTGCCGAACCCCAACCTGCCCAAACCAGTACTGTCAATTTGAAGGTGATGAGGAAGACCGTGAAACCATTAGCATTGTCGGTAAACGTAACTCACCAACCTAGCGGAAAACGTATAGATAACGATGCGTTCGTCACGTTTCTAGAGCACCAACCTAGACAGGATGTTGGACTCCGGGACTTGCTCACAGACGGCGTTGACAAAGTGGAGGCACCATCTAGATTATCCCGGAGTGGTGAAAGTCCCAGGTTAGGGGTGAGGTCTAGTTCAGTGCAAAGCTCTCGCAGCAACTCTTGGAGCGACTCGTCGGATGCGGAGGTTAACGCCTCTCACAGGAATGTTAAAGACTCAAGGGAGAGAGGGAGCCCTGCTGCAAGAGCCTTCAAAAAGCTCATAAATAAGAACAAATCCGGAGCACCGGACGCTGTACGTCTCCCATATGACTGTCTCCAGCCACATGAGAATGTCTGTCCATTGTTAGCAAGTCGGTTGATAGCAATTTCTTCGTTTCGTTTTTTTTTTTTTTTTTTTTTTTTTTTTTTGCATGTGAATTGAAGCAGCTTTGTCTTGCAACTGGCAGAAATTCGTCAAGCCGTGGGAGGAGCCGTTGCTTGCTGTGCACGAGCAAGTGAAGTTGCAACGGAAGGCGGCCAAGTTGGAAGCCAAAAGGGTTGCGGAGGAGTCCGAAAGGGTTGCGGAGGAGGCCAAGAAAGAGGCTGAAAACGCGAAGCGCGAGGTAATGATCGACCCACTTCCGCTGTCGTCGCCACATCAGTATTTTGCGGTAGTTATGTATGAACATTAATATGTTCTTGTGACGCTTAAACCGTGCCTCTCACGACTGGGTGACCTTGATTGCAGCTTCTCAACCTTGCGAACCCTGTACCTGAATCTACACTGAGGAATCAGTCGGAGCATCATAACAGGCGCATAGGACGTAAGCAAACTTTTGAAGCCCGTCTACTGAAGAATTTCTTTGTTGTCTGCTTAATATGGATGTTGGGTTTTGACTTATGGTTAACTACATTGATTTCGCATCGTCAATGATTAGTCAAGCATGTGCAAATTCGTCCTTTCCGTTGGATCGTTCCAATAAGTTGGCTGTCTCTGGAGTTTCCTAATCCTGTTTTGTGATGTGTGCAATTGTGTGGATCCAACTATTATTATCGGCGCAGTACACAGACTGTTCAGCGGAGTAAGTGACCTTTTCGAGCCATGGAACAATCTGTCTTAGCCTTATGGATTATTCATAGGAATTATATATGTGTATATATTTATATATATATATATATATATATATATATATACATGTTGCACGGGAGTGAGACATCCTAAACTTTAATTCTTGTTTCTTGCAGATGCATTCCAACTCACCGTCACCAAAGGAAAGTTTTGTAGCTGTAGATGCTCGAGAGTCAAAATGTGAGCAGTTGCATAATTTCTCCAGATCTTGTTGAAATTACAGGCCTCTCATGTCCTTTCCTGATTATTAATTCCTTTGTTTCCCTTTTCTTTGGTTCCTGCTTCAAGCCAGTGACTTGAGTGTGATTTTCTGGTGTGGCAGTGGTGATGCCAAGAGCCAGTCTGTTTGAAACATGCAGTAGTCCATCCTCCACAGATGTAGCACTAGCCTACATCAGATCCGGAACCCGACCAGTTGCAAGACAAGATATCCACTTCGCAACAGTTGAATCAAATGTGAGCGTTACTCGATCAATTTCTTTCCAACCTGAACATGACACTTCTTCTCATCTGTGGTAATGAATTACAAATCAAAACACCGCTGCTGAGTTTTATTGGACATGATGTGCAGCAACGTGATGTGGAGGCATGGACGATGGAACAGTACATGGCAAAGAATGCTAGGCTCGAGGAGTGGAAATCTAGGGTAAGCAGTTTTCTTGCATCTCTTTACTCAGCCATAAAACTGCCTCAGAGCACGTGTGTAGAGCACATTTGTGAAGTTGTAATAAACTGCACTGTTGCATGAAATTTTCAGGATGACGACGAGGAGTTCGGAGGAATTGAGGGCAACCAGCTGATGAACCGGTTCGACGACCACGATGTCACAAACAATTACGACAGCGACAGTGACTGAGAGACCTGTGAACCTGCTGTGTTTGTTTGCACATCATATGCCGACCGAGGTTTTCGACATGAATGTCTCAATACAGCATCGTCGATTGACTAGGTATATGGCTACAAACATGCCTGCTGGTACCAATTCATGAAGACCTGGACATGGAATAGCCTTCAGTTCTGTACATTATATTCACTGCAAGGACGAAGAAACTGATTCAAGGAGTCTCGCTTTCATCCTATCTGTGTGGCATTGTTTTGTTCACATTGTCTGTTTGATAGGATTGACATCTGGCTAGCTAGGACTTTAGGAGTTATAACATTAGTATGCTCCAGAAATAGCACCCATTCTCGCTTCTTGTTTTTTTCTTTTTGGATATCCAGAGCAGTTGGAGAGCAACTGCTGCTGTCCTTTTCATGTTGGATGACGGTCGCGTACTTGGCTGTAATTGCCTCGAATCGCCCGGAATAAAAGGTCCTTCAATGTCTTCGTAAAGAAAATCACTGTGGCAGTGCCTGTGTTCCAAAGAGTTTCAGTTTCGGTTTCGGTTCGTTCTCGATTTTGACCCCATTGCATTAACAGCCATAAGTTTCGAAGCAAGCTGGTTGCGTTGTGGTGCAGTTACTGAGTTTAATTCTTGCGCAGATCCTCACCATAATAGATTTTTACAGTGTCTGAACATGCTGCAATTGCAGCTGTTGCAGTTCCAAGAATGATAAGAATCTTTAATCCTGCTTGGCAGACTCGTCAGGTTAACACATGCGTAGCACAGCTATAACTCCCATGACGAATTCTCTTCGCTAATTTAGACCCATCCCACTTACCAATGGTTCCAAACAGCAGATGCGCACACAATCTGAATCAGTTGCTATTCGCTGACATCATTTACTCAAACCCAGATATTGTTCTCCAGGACCTCACTGTGTTACATCCACCGCGAGAGTAGAAAATACACATTCAAACAATATAAGAAGCAGAAAAAATCACATTCCTCCAAACTGCGGTTTACATTCGCAAAGTACAAGCATACGGATCACAAGGTACTTTGCTACTGTCCAGCTTCTACACAGAGATGGGGACAACGGCGACTCATGTAACCGATCAAGTGCCAAGTGAAGCAAAAGGTGATGGATGTGAGAGGGGGCTGCTGGGTACTCCCTGTGTCAGCGAGGATTGAGAGGTTACATGTGCTTGGAAGAGTCAAGAGTCAAGACTCGATCTCAATGGCAGACGACGCAAATTAATGGACAACTTAAATCAGTACACAACAAAAGCAAATAGGGGAGGAGGAGACATGGATGGGTTTGTTGTCATGCTGGTGGCAAGTCACCAGTCTCGTCAAGCTAACAATTCTCACAGAAAGACAAGGTTGACTGCCATAGCCTGTGACTCTCTTAAGGTTGCAGGAAAGACCCAGTGGGGTCTTTACATAAGTGGCTCCCACCCAGTTGTGCTGATTGTGATCGCCATTGCTGTCTAGAACTCTTCAACATTTTTGTGGCTCCGCACTTTGAACCGAAGGAGAAAAAAAAAGGGGGTGTGGAAAACGAGGCGGGCGAGTTTGAATTTTCCCAAAATTTTGTCTTTGGGGTTGGAGAACATTTGTACTGCCGCTTGGTTTAAAAGCTAGCTATCAGCTCATAGACCCATAAAGGAAAAAAAGAAAAAGAAAGAAAAAGAAAGAAAGACATGGGCTTTAATATCTTAGCTTGCATGCAAATCCAAACCCAGGTGCAACGGCTCAAATGACTTGGAGATGGTTCCATCAACATGAGACAATGGATACCATGAGATTTGATCTCCAGTCTAAACCCTAAACTTAGTGGGTGGTACAAAATTTATATCCAAAGGTAGCCTATGAGCTTGAGGTTTGGATAGGGCTTGCCCTTTAATTCACCTTTAAATTATTATATGTTTAGAACGAATGTGAGTGACTTTGGAGGCTCTGTTGCTACTATTGGGGCATTGATGGAAATTGATGCTTTAAAAAGAAAAGTGATGCGTCACCGTCCTACCCACACATGGTCCCTATTGGATTTGATACTGCCCAGCCCAATTTCCCCTAACCACACATAATCTCTAGTAATGAATGCTTTTTTTGTAATTAATGAATTCTATATTTTATTTTTTTATGACAATGCAATGAATGGTGAGAGAATGATAGTTTGGTCCAAAGCACTCAATTATTTCCAAAAACAAATAAACTTACATGAAAATTATCTCTCAAGATACCATGTTTTTGATACAAAAAAAATTGTATAAAATCTTGTGATATCGCTAAATTGTTAAATCACCTTATTTTTAGTAAAATCGTAAAAAAATTACATAAGTGAGAAGAATTGTTACTGACACAATAGAATGACTATGTGGCACCCAAAGGATTTTTTTTTAAAATTTAAAAAATTTAATTTTTATCTTCTTTATTTCATTCTTTTCAACTCTATTTTTTAAAAACAGCGTCATCCACTTCATCACGAGCACCAAGTAAGGAGACCCGCAGCCGAGTGCCTCTCGGTGATAGATTCCCAAACTAGCGGTAATAGGTCCGAAAACGTTATTATGTGGCAGCACACGACTGTCTCGTCCTGTCGGGCAAAAGGAAAAAAATTCAAAAACTCCTTTTCCAAGACGTCTAATTCAGTGCCCTGGCCGACAGAAAAAAGTTTTTAAAAAAAGCTATAACCAAAACCGCAGTTAAAAGTAGGCTCACAGTAAAAGTAAGAAGAGCCGGTCGCGATCAGAAAGACGACATGCACAGACTTGAACTGGAGTTGCGATTTTCCGAAGCATTTTATTTTATTTTACTTTATTTTTACTTGCTTTGTTTGTAATAATCTGTTCCAGCCATGGCTATGGTGATCCACTTCCTGTGCTGTCTTAAAGCCTTGGTATCTATTCTGCCACAGTGCCGCCCCCTTGCTTCAAGTCGGGCGTAGTCGGGATAGGTAGCCTTGCGGTCTTTTTTCGCAAAGCATCTGGTTAATCTTTTGCTCTTTTTCGGAAACAATTTGTTATTAGTTGATGCGCATGCGTCTCGTTCCATCAATCGATTCCATCTCCTCTGCCATTGCCTTAAGAGTTGATTTCGTTTCCGGTGACTAGCGTGTGATGTTGTGGCGGCTCAATTCGACGGTTAATCTGTATTCCGAGGATATTGTGTAAATTTCAACGAGGGTTGAGACGGTTTTGATGACAACGGTGAGTAGGGCTTTGAGGTTGCGAGTAGGTTGCAGGACAGGAAAGCGGAGAGCCTGATCAGAGGAGGCTCGAGGTTCCCTGGGAGACAGTCTAGAGGTGTAGGGTGAAGTGTCGAGGAGAGGAGCTGGCTTAGAGGTTGAGGCAGTTGAATTGGTGGCTTCGTTTGGAGGAGTTGAGGTGGCAGGCCTGGCGGAATTGGTGGAAGTGTGCGAGTTGGACTGAACCAGGGTCGTTGAGTTTTAGGAGAGAGGCGGAATTCGGAGTGGTGCAGTGGTCGGGGAGTTTTGCAGTGAATAATCAGGCGAGTGGCGGCTTGTGGGATTGGATGGAATTGAATTTGTAAGGTGCGACGTGATGGGGCAGAAAAGGAGTTCAAGGTGAGTGTGCAAGAGTTGGAGGAGATGACCTCAGGGAGAGAGATGACAGGGTAAAGAAGACGGAGAATAAGGGCTTTTAGGTTTGAGGTAAGAGCAAGGAGGACATGGTGGGAGTAGACCAGGCCGTCGGAGGCGACTCTGGTCTTCACCCCGTCTGTATGTTGCTATGGGCTTGGGTGACGACAATGACGATGCTGCTGTCCTTTTCGGTGTGTGCATGGCACAGACGACGTATGCAACGTATGCGAGAAGGTAGGGTGACTCGTGTTGTTTTCCTTTATTGTACTACATTGAATTCTCTTCCTTCCCAACCCGCTGATCGGTCAACGTGTCTCTTATATTGATTTCACGATCGTGTGAGTGAGTAGCCACAAGTGTCCGCTCTGGGCTTCCTTCTCTATGGGTTTCGTGATTGTGACTTGTTGGTTCCGTTCATTCGAACGTGGTTAATATGCGCTTCTGGTTACTGTCCAAGTTTTCCTCTCAAATTTATTTCCGGCCGATCGAAATGTCAGTTCAAATGCCTTGGTGTTTATCTTTGTTATAGTTTCGTGTCTGATCGGTAGTACGTGAATTGATCCCTCTTGCTTTTGTCTCAGTGCTTGATCAGCAAAATATACGCCCTCGTACTTGCAATGTGTTGACTTGCCTACTCTGCTGTTGAACTTAATGACGGTGCTGTAGTGTTGCAAAAGCTCGCAGGGCATTTTGTGGAATTTCATGTTAAATGCATTGGGTATTAAAGCATCAAGTTTGTGACATAGTAGAGTTTTGCAACATTTTTTGGTTATGAATTTATAACATCATCTTGTTCGGAAGTTGAAACTGAAGCATTACTACAACTATAATACGACAGGTTCAGAAGAGGTCCGATTCAAGTAGGTTGGAGGTGGTTGGACGTTTTTCGGTTGTGGGCCTGGATTAGGTATTCTTGATTCCACTAGCGATTGTGATCATTGTTGCGTGGTACGAAGTTCTTCGTGTGATGTATTACTAGGTCGTCCAGATGTTCATACGGGGCACAATGTCAAGAAGATTTGACGTGCTCACTTGATACTCTGGTAGTCGCTTATACCATTTACTGAGTTCTTGAAGTGGTGTGAACAATTTTCGTACAACCTAGGTGAGGTACTCTTATTGTTTACATCTTTACAGTATACACGGTTTTTAACACCAGTGTTTTGACATTTATCCCATGGGCAGAGTGTAATTAGATTTTTTAGTTATCAAGAGATCTTTTAGTCAGTGTACCTTCGTCTTGTCTAAGTTCCTTACTGCTGTCTGTGAGATGTTCAGTCACTTCTTACGTCGAAGACGCACTCTCGTTGCATTAAACGATATGATGTAATTTTGATTCTTTCACTTTTTAACGTCCCTATGGTTTAGCCTGGTGACCTAGAATTCCAGTGGTCTCTACATAACGTGATTCTTGAAAGAATGTGTCGTCTTTTGGGCTTATTATCGTGTGAATTCTACTTGATAGTGCTGTTTTATGATACAAATCTTCGACATCTGAGCAATTTTTGCTCAAGCTATTACTGATTTTTGAGTCGCAGGCAGCCTCTCACTTCGTTAACACGTCCGAGCAATTATGATTTGGTGCTTCAATAACGAGATAAAACTTTACTACAACCATATTGTTCGCTCAGATTTTGCGATTTTTTGCCGTTTGCAGCTGGAGATTTAGCTGCAGCTATTCGACTATCCATGAATGACAATCAGCAACAAATCGTCGTCAATATTCCCCCTGGCGCTATCCCTGCTCCAATTGTCAGAATTGATAGCTCACGTACTCAGGATGCCAGAGTCTCACCTGCAGCTGATGTGCCCAGCATCAAGATTATACATGAGCTCAAGGACAGCTTGAGTATCGGCTCACTCTTCAAAATGAAGCGCGACTGGCTGGCGAGGTTTGCAATATAATCCTTCTTATAGTTTGATAATTTTGCGCAACTTCTGCTAGGTCGATGACATACGTAACAAGTGAAAAGTTGTCCATTTAAGGTGGAAAATTCGAACGTAAGTTACAGTGATGTGCTGTTCGTAGAATTCATAGAATAATTGGCCCATGTAGGAGCAGTAAGCTTTAGTACTTGAAGCAGTTCAACCGTACATCTATCTTAAATTCGTATATATTTCCTCTCTTTTCAGATCTACTGATAGTATCCAGAATAATTTGAATGAAATATAGTTCAATAGTACTTGTTATTTAATAATAAGTTATCTATTAGCTTAATTCAGCGGTACCTCCAACCTCATGTCACTTCAGACAGCCTCAATTATCTAAAACTTCATGTGCTATTTTAGAGAACTGTCTAAAGGAAAGGATGGTAGCAAGGGTAAACCCTCTCCTGCAAGGCATGAGCGGAGGCTTTTGCAGATTGTTGTGCGTAGAGACCACGTTTTCCAGGATTCTTACCTGCAGGTATCTTTTGCTATTAGTTGTCTTGTCTTTTAAACTAGTAGAGCAGCTATTTGATTATGCCATACTTTGTTACTTCTTTTTTCGAGATCAGGTCCCAGCTATTATATCAACATGCATATTGTCTTCATGCAATCTTATTGAAGGGATCCCTGTAACATTTTGCAGTTCGCATCCCTCAGTGATGACGATTTGCGGAATCCCCTGTCGATTCATTTTGTTGGAGAGGTGGGACGGGACGATGGAGGTGTCACCCGCGATTGGTACAGTGTGCTCGCGAAAGAGATATTCAATCCACAATATGCGCTATTTACTCATAGTGCAGTGGATGACTACACATTCCAGATCAATCCAAATTCAGGCATCAACCCTGATCATCTGGACTTCTTCCGATTCATTGGCACAATAGTTGGCAAGGCTCTATACGATGGTTGTCTTTTTGTTGCCCATTTTACCAGATTTGTATACAAACAGATTCTGGATGAACCAGTTACTTATCATGACATGGCCTCTGTCGACGTGCAGTTTTACGAGAGCCTTTGTTGGGTAATTATTCCTCTTTGATCTCAATGCTATTACTTGCCGTACTCTTGGGGACGCCCAAAATGACATGTTTCCAAGGTGAAATTCTGAGAGAAGGGTTGGTACATTTATCGTAACAGCTTGTTGATAGACTCTTTAACGAACACCCCTTAGTCCTCTTGCCTGAAGTTTAACTAATGATTTGTGAGGTGCAGCTTCTTCAGAACAAATTGGAAGGCATGGACTTGGGTTTGACCTTCTCTGTTGACACGGATAATTTTGGCTCCTATGAAGAAATTGAGGTTTGCGAAAATGTCCCTCTTGATCCTGTTTGTTAATCTGACTTGTAGCAGTCTATTATGTTTGCTGGTCTGATGTGTAAGCTGTTTAAGTAATCTGTTTTAATTCCTTAAGGTATGGTATTGTTTTAATGAATAATAAAGGAACCCTAAAATATATAAGTATATAATAATAGATTGCCGTGGCTGTCAGCAATCAGCTAACTGAGGTACGAGTTAAGTTTTCCATGTATCTAACGCGTGGCCTTCTTATTGGCTGCAGCTCAAGAAGAACGGAAAAGAAATAGCTGTAACAGAGCAAAATAAGCGAGAGTATGTCGATCTGTTGACAAGCTGGCGTCTGAAAGGTTTCTGTTTCTCGAAGAACAATTAAGAAGCTTTAATGTCACAACTTTATTTCTTTGTGATCCTTTTGGGCGTATTCTGAGCACTTGCTTGAAATGGGATGTGATATTTTTGCTGGGAAAACACTTACCCTGTTTCTCCTTCGATGTTCTTTGTGATACAGAAAGTGTAGAAGCGCAATTCGGAGCATTTCGAAGTGGATTATCTCGGATAGTAGACCCAGCTCTTCTGCAGGTTTGTGGGGTCTGAAACCGCTGTCTTGGCTGGCTTAAGTGGTTGGTCACTTATCCTTATCAATCAGTTAGCCTCAGAACATAGTCTCAATGTTTCTTGCTTGTTTTAGAACATACTATTTCTTCTGAGTTCTTGGATCTGATTCTGTTTTCTTTTTTTCTCAGCACTTCGATGAGGCAGAGCTCGAATGGCTTATTGGGGGGCTGCCAACTATCAATGCTGGTGATTGGTGGGTTTATGTCTCACGTCTGACACTGAAATTGTTGGCTGTGTCGTGCTTGGGTTATGGTCGTACTTTCTTTGAAAGTTAAGATCAACGGATGTTGTAGCGATCCTGGCTCTGATTGTCTCGCAGTCCCGCTTATTGCTCGTTTATTCCAACTCTAGTATTTATGAAAGAAATGAATTTGGTGTGCAGGAGGAAAAACACGGTATACAAGGCAGGGTTTAGTGACTCTCCCGACTGTCATGTAATTAGGTGGTTTTGGCAGGTACCTATTCATTTTTGCTCATCACATTCTCGCCACCTGCTTGTGAATAAATCCTTGCATATTTATAATTGAAAATATATCTTAAGCAATGTGTAGTTGATGGAACTTGTAAGAATAGTACATGTACTTCAAATTTGTCTTAATTTACTGTTGTGGAAAAGCTTCTAGTTGCAATCACAGGTTTGCATCCAGAAATTTAGTCTAACATTAGTCTGATATTTTCGCTGCAGTTGGTTGAATCTTGGGATCAGGAAATGCGGGCAAGGCTCCTGCAGTTTGTTACTGGCACATCGAAGGTGATAATTTGAAGATGCCTCAAACCCTAAGTAAAAAGAAAGCTCTGCGAGAATTCTTTTGTTTAATTCAGATGAAAGCATGCATCCACAGGTAGTTAATCATTTTGTGGGATTTTTGCAAGCAGGTTCCGTATCCTGAAGGTTTCAAGGTTCGCTCCTTTTACTTACGAAAAAATACTTCGTTGAGTGTTGAACTGCTCGTTGTGTTGCCATTATATCATTCCCAATGCCTTGGAATGTGAATTCTCATGCCTATGAAGTCTTACTTTTGATGAATACAATTTACATTTGGCTGCAGGGTTTGCGAGGTAGCGAAGGATTAAGAATGTTCCACATTGTTCGCGTTTCAGACTCCACAAGGTTACCGCAGGTGAAATCCTTTAACATTCTATGCGGATTTTTGAACCTAGTTTTCATTAATGGGCCGTAGTTTGTGCAGAAGTCAGAACAGCAACTTCCCTATGGTAGTCCTATGAAGTGGATCCTTTCGATCAAATTTCATGTGCGTCTGAGTCTTGAAATACCGTTGAGCATCTTTTTGTCTTTTTATGAAGCACGTTGCTTTCCACACTGTGTTTTGTTACTTGGGGATCGTTACAGTGGCTACCTTTTACAAGTGCATACACATGTTTGTCATTTCTACAGGCGCATACATGCTTCAACGAACTGATACTACCCGACTATGATTCATATGAAGAATTACAAAGGAATCTTAATACTGCCATCTTTGAGACAGGAAACCAGTTCCAGCTTCGTTAGTCGTTGTCCATGAATTACTTTCTCGTCCTTGATTTGATAAGGCATTAGCGTCAGCGCAATTTTATGCAGCGCAATTGGTCATGGTTACCCAGAGCTGGATTGAAGATACTCTGGCAAAGGTTCCACTGTATAACAGCCAGTGACAAGTTAACGGTCAATGCGGATGTGTGTTGGTTAAGATTTCAACGCCCACATCCTTTTTCGTTTTTTTTTTTTTTTTTTTTTTTTTTTCTGTCTACGAATATGTAGGCCGACGGGCAACTGAGATTGAATACGAGTTATCAAATAGAGGACTTGACAAACAAGTCCTATTCTTGGATTTGCAGTTTTCTGCAAACCTAATCAACAATGTTCGTAGAAGTCGCCAATTATTACACAGCTATTCTATGCCGTTAAAACTTTTTTTCGGAGAGTTTAGATGATACCTGTACTGATTACAGTTCTTGTTGTGGATCCCTATCTGTACACATCCTGTTATAAAGAATTACGGTTTTCCTGATGCATCGTGCCTCATCTCCAAGAGTCGTAGACAAGTATTGCGGTATACAATGCTGTTTGCTCCATTTGCACAAGTTTTTCTCCATATTCCAGTCAGGCTGGTCCCAATCACAGCACAGTTAGAACTTCTTGGTGATCTCTACAAGGCATACGCAAAGCTCTGCTAAATATCTTGAACATGCCGAATTCCGTCATGTCAATTCTAAGGTTTCTAACATACCTCACAAGCATCTTCTGGTTGTTAGTTCTATACGTCGTGCAAACCAATCAGAGTTGTAATTACTTTGTATGCAGGGCTGTGGATCGGAGACTTAATTAGAGCAGTAGGCAAGCCGTAGTTACTCTTTATAAGTTACTTTGTGAGGAACAGCCTCCATGAGTTGCTCTTTTCAATGGTTGAAACTATACCAGCAATGTGATTTAGTGGTGGGCTTTTCAACCTATCAGTCAATATTATGCACAATGTACAATTGAGCACACAAAGAAAAGTTTCGTATTTAGCGTTATCTTCAAAAGTACTTCGTAACCTGTGACGTAGCTATTGGAGAGGAATTTGAGCACATGGCCTGTCTCCACGAAGAATCTGAAAGTGGATTCTGGGCCAGGAGAGATTGTAGAGGAACCAAGACTAATATTCAACAGCATAGAAAGGACGATTGAAATGCAAGGTTGTGGCACAGCCACACCCACCCCTTCGCACGGGAAGCATCGCCGGAAGACTCCTGGGAGACGTCTCTTTTTCCTGCGTTACTTCCTCTTTCCTGTGTTCGCCACACGTTCCACACAAATCTCCGGATAAGCCTGGACTGACACATCTCTCCACTTTGCTCTGATTCTCTCATGTTGCCCATGTCACGTTTGCAAAGTGGATTTATACCTACGAAAGTCGCAGTCCTGTCCCAACTCGTGGAGGGTGGAAAGCGCGTGCTAGTGCTGAAGTTGCAGACTCCGTTGGGTTGCAATTTTTGTGATTGATTCTAAGGTTGCGATATGGCGGCATTGGCAAATGGGCTGTCTGCGTTCTGCGGGGTGGCGATTCCAGCTGAGGCCGCGCCAGTGTCTGCTCGAGCGGGGAGGTCGCAGAGAGTGAGCTTGGCAGTGCGGGCGGAGGCTGCAGAAACCACCACTGCGTCGTCTGCTCCCATCAACCCGTCCATCCGCAAGGACTCCGACAAGGTGGTAGACACGGTTCAGGCTGATGAACTCTCCAAGCCATTGACGGCTTACTGCAGGTATTACTCCATAGCCATGTCCTCCACCACCACCAACTTACAAAGTGAAATCTATCGCTGCAGTCTGCGTCATGCAGTCTTCCCGTGAGCTTTTTCGGAAGTTCAATGGTGGTGCACGCTTCCATTCTTTTACTTGGTATCAATCGCTGAGAGCGTAACTTCTCTCATTCTACTCCCTTAGCATTGTGCAGAGAGATCGAAGCAATTTTTTGTTGCAGTGATCGTTACAAAATGGGTCTTTTATATCTTATCTGCTTCAAATCAGTCAGTTTGATTTTCTGTTCTGTGGTGACACCATCCCACAACAATGCTCTATGCAGGCCTAGTCTTAAAATGTGAAACTCTGTCCTCACTGTGCTGGGTTTTTCTTATTTTGCAGATGCTGGAGATCTGAGACTTTCCCCCTCTGCAACGGCGCCCACGTGAAGCACAACAAGGAAACTGGTGACAATGTTGGTCCTCTTCTGTTGAAGAAGTGAAGACCTTCCCAATTGAGAGATCCATCACGAATGAATTCAAAGAGTACAATGCCTCGGGTGTATCGATATCATCTGCTTCAGCCTTTTCCAATACCAGTTATTCTAACAGTTAGGTCTGATAATTCAGACATATGTTTGTAATTTTTAAATGTTTTTTTTTTCTTATTTTCCTGGGGAGGGGGGTCCCTCAGTGATCTGTAGAATTTCAACTTGATAATGAGCATAAGAGACCAAACCTCTTGTTTTTTGATGATTATTGCTGGTGCACATGTGGTATTGAGCATGTCCATCCGTGAGACTGTTAATATGTATGAATCAGTGTCATTAATTAATTTTTGATTGGTGCTTGGTGCCTGTACTCTGGAATGGCCTCCCTATCCATGGATTTAGCTCGTTATCAACTGTGGGATTTTATGAGGTCTGTTGTATGTTATAAAGCAACCTGACTATGTGTACCCGCCAGCCCATTTTTCACATCGAAAGTCTCCTTTGCCGGAGATGACGATGTCTTCAGTCTTGAAATTGTTGTCATGTTATTTTGTAATGTGAAATGAAAACTAGTATAATGATAATGATTTTTATTGAATTACTTCACCTTTTTTCAGCTGTTTAAGTGGAAATATTGTATCTCATGCAACATGTTTTCATCTTCTTTAATCACAAAATAATATATCAATTATAATTGCAAATTTCTAAGATTACATCATGCATTTAGAAAGAAAAAATAAAATTACTTTCATTCTTTGTTGCAAGTTTTTAGTCTTCTTGTCTTTAGCATTAGCCATTTTAGTCTCTTCTTATATATATGTACTTTTTTTTCTTTTTCTTTTATTACTATATTCATTTTTTGTCATCTCCCTTTGATATAAATTTCACTTATTTATTTATATTCTCTAGAGCCTTATTCTTAACATATCAAAAAAAATACACTCATAATATCAAAAATTTATCTTTCTTAATTAAAAAAGAAATTATTGCTTTTTTCTAATAAGATAAATTGTATTAGATGTTGTTAATTATCTACTTGTAAATTGATATTATTCTCAAAATATTTTTTATATTTTTGTTCTTTCTCTACTTTTTACCATAAGTTATAGAAGTTTTTTTTTTTTTTTTTTTTTTTTTTTCTTCTTTGGTTTAATAATGAAAAAGATTGCAGAAATAAAAGGTGCAATGGCACAAATGTTAGAATAAATCAAAGAATCAATACTTGTTATGCATCAACTCACTTCATTACCATAGCCAACATCAAAATTGATTAGAAATGAAGATGTTGAGATAGTTGGAGTTACTTCAACATCAAAGACTAAACCAATAACTTATTCTATGGTATAGCATCTTCCAATATTACCACTATTATTAAAAAAACTAAAAATTGGCTTATTTAAAAAAAAATTATAATACAAGATTAAAAATTTGAGGATTTATCAACAAAGTATATTTAGTGATGGAATTTTAAACTCAAAGCTATCCAATTTCAAAACCACAAGTCAAGTTTATTAAAATAATATTTTTAGATTATGCCTAATTATGATTTTATCCTTTTTTAAATAACATGATCAAAAATTAAATATCTTAGAAGTTTTCTTGGCAAAATTTTGATTTGTATTTAGATAGCTTGATGTAGTTTGTATTGTAACCAACAAGATTTGGTCTCATACTAAGGGATTTGTTCAATCTTACTATATGCTTCACAATTTTGATAGTTAGAAATTGATATTAAATGCGATCATATAGCACTTAAAAACTATTTTTTTATAGATTGCAATATGAGGTAAAACAATTAATGTTGAATTTATTTAATCTTCAAATAATAAACCAAAATATTAAATTTGCTATTAAAATTGAAAATTAACTTTTTGAATTTTGATTTGAAAATTATAAAAGTATCCTACAACATCTTTATAATTTATTTGCTATTTCAACATCTTTTCAGGACATGCATTTTAAAGTAGAGGATATGCAAATTAATGCAATATACTTCAAATTTCTTACTTAAGAAGCATATGACATAATACATATTAAAAATAAATAAAAATAAATCAAAGACTAATATTTTAATCATGTATGGACATTTTGAATACAATGTTATGTTTTTTAGACTTATAAAAACTCTAATTGCTTTTCAACATCTAATAAATAATTTTTTTAGGAATAATTTTTAAAAAAATTATTTTTGTTTAAAAATATTTTAATATATTCTAATATCATAAAATAATATATGCAACATATTTAATATGTATTATAAAAACTTAGAGATATAAGATTGTATAGAAAGAGAAAAATAATGTATATTTCATATAATTTAAGTTAATTTTTTATTTAAAAAAAAGCTTCTACTTACTTTGGAAGGCTATAAATAAGGCAGAACAAAGTGAATTTGCAAATATAATATTGTATGCATCGTTAGGTAGAAGTAAAGAATAGCATTTAGAAAATATTATCTAAAAAAATTAGAGATTAATACTTAGAGAAGACTAGTTGTAAACAAAGGTTGAAACAAGAGCCTAAGAGAGATAATTGCACACCTATGGTGATTATAGAGTTCATAAGTTGCTTGGAAAGCAATGTTAAGGAGCATGCTTTATAAAGTTAGTCAAAGCATTGATTATGAGTGATTTGGGTAGATATTGACTATTTTAGAGTTTTGCAAAGTCAAGGGTTGTTTTAGATGATTCAAAGTTGTCCAAAGTATAAAAGGGTTTATATTTTGGAAACTTTTGCATGCATTTTAGAAAATTGACGGATGAAAGTTTGTAGGGTTATGATTTTTTTTTTTTTTTTAATTGTGCTTTTTTAATTAAATATTTATTTAAAACAAGATCAATGGTTTGATTAATAATTATTGAAGTTTTGAAATTACTATAGGATTTACTTAAGATGTTATTAAGATATTTTTATGATTTTATTAGTATTTGGTTAGGATTTTTTGAAGATTTTATTAAAGTTTTTTTAGAATATTATTAGAGCTTGGTTAGAATTTACTTAATATTTTATTAGAAATTGTTAAGATCTACTCAAGATTTAATCTAGATTTATTAATATTATTATAAGATTCCTTTATGATTTCTTTAGGATTTTTTATTAGAATATTTTTAGGATCTTTTTATGATTCTTTGAAGATTTTATTAGGATTTTATAAGGATTTTATTAAGATTTTCAGATTCTTTGTGAGTTGAAAATACAAGTTTATTTTCCATAGCCAAGTGCCTAATACTTAGGTATAGAAAGTAAACTTGTATTTTTTGATAAACAAAGAATTTGACAATCTTAATAAAATCCTAAACAAACTTCAATTGAACTTTAATAATTCTAATAAAATTTTATTTAAATTTTACATAAATCCAGAAGAAATTCTAAGAAATCATAAAATAATTCCAAAGAATTTCTTAAATAAAGAAAGAAAGAAAGAAAAAAAGAAAAAAACCCTCAATTTTTTCTAAAAAAAATCATAATAAAAACACTTCACAAACCATAATTGAATTCTAAAGATATCTTCATAAAATCCTAGAAAAATCCTAAAAAATTCCTAATTAAATCCTTATAAATTCTAAATAAATTTTTAATCATATCTTAATCAATTTTAATCAACTTTAATTAATCTTTATAGCAGTCTTAAAAAATTCAATAAATAATAATTATATTGTTGTCCATACTTAAAATTTTGTACACATTTTAATTTATAAAATAATATCAAAGATAAAAAATCTTTAAAAAATCAAATATATTAATTGGAATAAAAAAAACTTGTAATTTTCTTGGACGTTTGTCATCCCCCTTCTTGAACCTTGATGTCAATCTATTAGCAAAAATAGCTCTTTATTATACTATTCACTTGCCTTCAAAATTTGAAAAAAGATTGCAAATAAATATCACTATTTTCTAACAAAAAAATCGCTTTAATTCAAATTGTAGATTGTTTAAGATCAAAGAAATCCTTGGTAATCCTTAAAATTCAAATTCTAAAATCTTGATCTAATTCAATTTTAATAATCTTTTATTTAATTTTTTAATTAAATTTATATTTATAAAATATATTTACAACAAGTAGATTCAAAATCTTATATTTTTTTACTTGTTAATTTACTACAATGTTCACAAATTTCTCAAAAATAGAAACCTTTTTTTTTTTTTTTTTTCAAAATCCCAAATCATCTAAAATAATTCTAACTATATAAAGTTCTTACAAAGTCAATTTCAATCCAAATCACTTCAAACCAATAGTCAAAAAATCCCTATTTAGTTTTCTCTATAATCTTCTTCTCTAATCGGCCATAATACCTTGCAATTGCTGTAGGTGAATGACTTTGTACCTTGAGGTCTGATTTCAATCCATGTTCAAAATTGATCTTCTTATGGTATCAATATCTAAATTCTTTTAGATATTTTTTTCTAAAATCTACTAGTTACTTCTATTTAAATATGTATGTAGTATTAGTTTTACTAATCCATTGTATTTTAGCTTACTTATGGACCTACAAAGAAAATAAAAGCTCTTTTTATAAAAATAAAATATTAATATTAAATATTTTGACTATTTTTTTTATCTTTCACATATATTTTTTTATTATAATTTTTAATTAAATTCTTCTCTAATTTAATGCATATTTTTTTCTTCTTTCAATCAATAGTTGTATTTTAATACAATATTGGTGCATTTTCAAAGAAGACAACATATAATAAAACAATGTGACATTGAGAAAAATTCTTCTAAATCTTATGATACTTCTAAGTTTGATTTTAAGAAAAATCATATATGTTTTGAAAGGCCCTTGTATATTCCAAAAAATGAAGCATAATTATATACTCTTTAAACTTGTCATATTTTTTCAATAGTAAGAAATTTAAGATATACTAAGATTTTAGAGCTAAACTTAAGAAAAATATAGAAGGCAATAAAAGATTTTGTACAATTATTTGATATTTGTTCAATGTCAAAGATCTCTTATCTTCAATCTTATATACTTCTATAACTATTATCTATTCTTAGATTATTATAGTTATTAATTTCTATGGATTTTATTATAGATATTTTAATTTTAAATTCTTATAATTCTATATTTGTTATAGTAAATTACTTAACTAAGATGACATATTTTGTACTATGTATAATTACTATTACAAGTGAAGAAACAATTAGACTTTTTTTTGACATTTATTTCTATCAAGGTTTATTAAAAGATATTATATCATATAAAATAAATCAATTTGTACTTAAATTTTAGAAAATTCTTTTTAAGATATTGAAAGTAAATA